TGAGCTGTAAATTTAACAAATTTCAATTAAAAAAACAAGATTACTTAGTGTGAATAGAAAGGTTCTAAAGTTCATTTTTAAGTAAAAAGTCAAAAAAGTTTGCAAAAGTGTAAGATAGAACTTGTCTTCATTAATTAAAACAGTGGATACTGGAACAAGAACGGATCAATGAAACAGCATTGGGAGCATTGGAATATACCCAATTATACAGAAGAATTTAGTCTATAATAAATATAATATTTCAAAACTGTAGAATAATCAAATAATCATTCAACAAATTATGCTGGGAAAAGTGGCTAAATATTTGGGTGACCCTAAAATTACAGCTTTAGATCTGTTAACAAAATAAAATATTGAGCCGAAACCGGTTTAGCTCAGTGGATAGAGCGTCGGTTTGCGGACTGAAAGGTCCAGGGTTCGATTCCAGTCAAGGGCATGTACCTTGGTTGCGGGCATATCCCCAGTAGGGGGTATGCAGGAGGCAGCTGATCGATGTCTCTCTCTCATCGATGTTTCTAGCTCTCTATTCCTCTCCCTTCCTCTCTGTAAAAATTCAATAAAATACATTTTAAAAAATAAAAATAAAAATAAATAAATAAAATATTGAGTACATTAAAGGGTGAAATATTAAAAAAAACCCACACACATACACACCTGAGAAAACTCAAATACACACACACACACACACACACACACTATATTTAAAAGCCTGTCTCTCTCCAACCGTCTGATTGGTAGCTATGACACACACTGACCACCAGGGGGCAGAAGCTCCATAATGCACCTGATTTAAAAAGAAACAGCACCATGGATCCGGTGCCCACAAACCAACACTCAGCTTCCCCAAAAGTGGACACAGGCCCCGCCAACACCCCAGGGCGACAGCCTACCAAATCACAGCCGATGTGCCAAGAATCCATGGTACAAAATGCAGCCCATAGCCCAGCCTGGAAACATCATCGCTGTGGGTGCTGGGTAATAGCAATGCCTGGCTTCCTCTTCCTAGCGACTAGCCTTCTCAGAGTTTCTTCAGCCCAGTAACACAATTTGCTTTAAAGCCAGGTGCAAACATTTTACACTTTAGCCAACTGTCAGTGAAGCATTTTCACGTGCCTCATCTCATTTGATCCTCACAGAAGTCCTGGAGTAAGTAGATAAGAGACTTGGTAGAACCCTATTTTCTTTTCATTAGCCGGAAAATGGGAGATTTAGAAAGCTTAGAAACTTGACCTGACTGAAAAGAAGAAATGGTGGACCTTGAAAATAACTTCAGGTTTTCTCACTGCACAGAATATAGTCAAACACTGCTATAGTTAAATATTTTACCCTTTGGTCTCCCTGCATGATCTACAATAATAATCTGCTTCGTATTGATATTTACTGTGTTGATAATGCCCTGAAAAAGAAAGTTGGGGTGCTTCACTGGGTTGGAAAAAAATTACTTATCAGAAGGCAGGTCTAATTAAGCAAGTCTGTCTATCTATCTATCTATCTATCTATCTATCTATAAAGCTCTCACTGGTACCAATCACACACATGTATTTCCATCTGCCATTGTTGATCATGAATTTGGTGGACACTTCTATTATAGAGAAAGGGCGAATAGCAATATTAAAGTATTTCTTCTAATTAATTTCTTTTCAATGTGCATGATCCCATGTGCCAGGACACTAATACTATAATAATTGAGGGGGAGGGGGTGGTGGTGGAAAAGGGGAGGAATACAGAAGATATAAAAATTACACCAGAGTCAGAAAACATTAGAAGACTTGACTGTAAAAAACACAGGCACACACACTTTTCTCCCTCCAGGTTAAATACGTATACAGAACTGAAAGAAATAAAAATAAAAATAAAAAACCCGCAAAAAAATACACCACCAAAAAAAACCTGGGGAAAAACTGTAACAGAAAGAAACAATATTCATATAAAAAAAAAAAAAAAAAAAAAGTCAATTCAGGAATAGACTGTAGCACAGGCAAAGGATTATGAGCATGTAATTTACAACTACAATGTAACTAACATAAATATATGGAAAATGATCAATGGAATTAATCATTAAAGCCATGGGGAAAAAACAACACAGAAAACAATAAAAAAGCCTGGTATTTAGTAAGAGGAACTGGGGACCATCAGTCAGTGTTACCAGGTCTATGAATAGATACAACTTTCCTGTACAGTAAATTGCCAATCTTTTTCCTCTCATGGCACACATAAACCTATTACTAAAATTTGCCAAAGCCGGTTTGGCTCAGTGGATAGAACATCAGCCTGAGAACTGAAAGGTCCCGGGTTCGATTCCGGTCAAGGGCATGTACCTTGGTTGCAGGCACATCCTCAGAAGGGGGTGTGCAGGAGGCAGCTGATCGATGTCTCTCTCTCATCAATGTTTCTAACTCTCTATCCCTCTCTCTTCCTCTCTGTAAAAAAATCAATAAAATATATATTAAAATTCTGTGGCATACCAGTATATGTATATTTGCCATTCAGACCCAAAAGAAAAGGTATAATTTTGATTCATTCACATTGGATGGCTATTGGTGTGTTGGCTGTAGTCATTTTTTTCACTTGACAAATCTAAGGGACTAGAGGTCAGTGCCCTTGACGAAATAGTCAGGTATTGCATGTTTTAAAAATTCTTGCAACACCCTGGTAGAAAATCGCTGCTGAAGAGTAATTATGTATGGCTGCTATAGAGCAACATGTATCCAATATGTATCAAATATGCACCCTTACAACCCAGTAATATATCTTTCAGAAATGTAAACTAAGCAGGCCATCTCTCAAACATGTAGGCGCCTGAATGCATCAGCGTTGTTTGTAACCTTGGTAAATGAAACAACTTAAATGCCCACCAATAACAAATACATATTAGCCATCATAATGAAAATGCCATGCATCTATTTTAAATGATGCAGAGATCATACATTTATTAATATGCAAAAAATATTCATGGCATTTTTACAGGGAAGCTCCATGTGAACAGCTGGATGTCTTGTCCCTCAATCTTATTTCCAGCACCTAGAACAGTGCCTTGTACAAAAGAGCTTACCCCAAAGCATTTATTAAATAATTGGATTCTATTACTATTTTGTACATACTTTTTATTGATTTCAGAGAGGGAGAGGGAGAGATGGAAACATCAATGATGAGAGAGAATCACTGATTGGCTGCCTCCGGTATGGCCAGGATGGAGCTGGCCACCTGGGCATGTGCCCTGACTGGGAATGGAACCTCAGCCTCCTGGTTCAGAGGTGCATGCTCAACTGCTGAGCCTTGCCAGTCAGGTTAAATAGTTTAATTTTAAAAGCAGGTTACAGAATAATAATCATAATAAAGTCCCTTTCTCTCTCCTTCCTTCCCTTTCTTCTCTTCCTCCCTGTCCCCAGCAGAAACATAATTGGAAGGAAGATTGACAAAGTAATGGAATTTTGATTGTGTGTCTAACTTTTTTCTCTATTCCTCTCTGTATTGTCTAAATTCCTTATATAGTCCCTAGCCGGTTTGGCTCAGTGGATAGAGCATCAGCCTGCAGACTGAAGGGTCCTGGGTTCCATTCTGGTCAAGGGCACATGCCCAGATTGCAGGCTCAATCCCAATAGGGGGGCGAGCAGGAGGCAGCCAATCAATGATTCTCTCTCATCACTAATGTTTCTATCTCTTTCTTCCTTCCTCTCTGAAATAAATAAAAACATATTTTAAAAAATAAATTCCTTTATAGAAAGTGTTTTTATTTTTATGATTGAAAAAAGAAAAAATGGTTCCTAAAGAGCTCATATATAATGAACTCCAGAATGTGGTTAGTGACTACAGCTAACAAACTCCATACACGAAGATCAACAACATCCAAACGGCATGTTTTCTCTCAACTTCAAAGAAATATCAATGTGTCTTGTACAATGAAGCATCTTTCTCCAAGAGCAGGAAATGCCACACTATATTAATAAAATGCAGTATTTCCAAAAGAAAAAAACCCTACTTTCTCTGTAGTAAAAAGAAAAAGAAACAAAAATGAATTTCTTAATGTCCTTCCCATCTTTTTATATACCCTATTCTAGTTGGTGGTAAAGATAACCATGTACAATCTTCTTTTTTCCAGCTAAGAAAAACAGTGAATCCATAACCAGAATATGGCCTATGCAATTCTTTGGGAAGGTTGATTTCCGTTTGAAAACATGTAAACAATTGAAATATCAAAACTAGCCACATACCCCTGTTTATTTTATTAATATTCACAGACTTGATCGCTATTGGAAATAACCTTATTATTTAGATGTTGTTACGTCCCTTATGGATGTAAGCTCTATGAGGACAGGAATTCTGCCCTGATCATCCCTGTGACCTCGGTGAACAGCATCTAGGCCTCAAGAAGCATATGTTAAATTAATAATGAAAAGGTGTGTGTGTGTGTGTAGGGGATGCAAATCTGAAGACAATAAATAAGAAATTAGAATGAAAGAAAAGAAAACCATACTGAACTGTGTAAGCTGACATGATTCAAGGGTACATGGCCACCTCGGAGGCGACAGGCGCTGGGCACCTATCTGAGGGCATGGAGCTCATCTAGGAGGAAAACCCACAGGGAGACTTCCAGGTGGTGTGTGCACCTCCCAGAAGACAGAAACGATCGCCCCCATAATAGCAATGTGTCCCAGGTCCAGGGGGGCTGGAGGGAAGAAAGATACCATACATCTTGGCCCAGATGAAAAAAACACACGAATCCCCAACACAGTCTTCCGCCGCACGTCAGAGCGCAGTTTCCTTCCCCCTGGCTGTGCAGTCGCCTGCAGCCCAGCAACCCCCTTCCTCACCCCTTCTCCCTCCCAGGGACCGCCACCCTGCGGGTCCAAGGGGAGAGAGCATGGGGGACGCATTGAGCATGAGCTCTCTGTACCCCCCACCCCAAGCCCAGTCCCCTCCAAAGCGCCATCCCTCCCTCCCTCCTCTGTCCCCAGGCCCCGCAGCCGCCCCACGGGCTCCCGCAGCCGCCCCTCACTCACGTGTAGATGATGGACATGAAATGCATCAGCCACAGCACCGAGAAGAGGGCGAAGCCGAATAAGGCCGTTCCCTCCAGGGCCAGGTCCAGCAGCGCCATCCCCCGGCCCGGCCCGGCCTGCTCCGGCCGTCGCCGCGGACAGCGCTCCCGCCGGAGGAGGACAGGGTAGGCGCCCGAGGCGGGGGCGCAGGAGGGAGAAGCGGGGGGAGAGGAAGGGGCGGAGTGGGGTGGGGACGGAAGGGGCGGGCAGGGCCTACGCGCCCCCGCCCGCGCGCGCTCCCCCGCGCGCTGTCCCGGGCGCGCTCGCGGCTGCGGGCCCCGCTGCGGCCGGGCCGGGCGGGCGGCGTGGCCGTGGCTCCGCTCCGATCGCCTCCCTGCGCCCCGCGGCCGCCCTGCGCGCCGGTGCCCCCGCCGCCGCCTCCCCGCCGCCCCGCCGCCGGGCTCCCTGCGCGCCGATCCTGCCCTGCTCCTCCGCCGCGGCTCCGGGCTCTAATCGAAACCGGCGGCTGGCACCCCGACACCCCGGCGATCCCCGCCCCGCCGGCCCCCGCCTCCGAGGGGCGGCGCGCCCCGCCCTCCCCGCCCCGCCCGCCGCCTGCGTCACCGCGGCGAGCACCGCCCGGAGGCTGCTGCGGAGGCCGCCGGGCTTCCCCCTGGCGCCCGGCCCCGCCCCGCCTCCCCGCGTCCGGCCGGCCCGCGTTGCAGCCCTGGGCACCCCTCCCTCGCGGCGGCGGCGGAGCGTGGCTCTGTGTGCCACTCAGAGGCCGCTTTCCCTCTGCCCGGCTGCGGGGTTGCAGAACAAGAATCGCATGCACTGGGCTCCAGGCAGCCGCCGACGGTCTTGCAACCCGGTTTCCAACGCCGCGTCCGCAGCCTCTCCGCGGGCATCCCCCCGCGCGGCGCAGGCCCTCCTCCAGGCCGTGTCCTGGGCGCCAGGGTTACCCATCGCCTCCCCCCTCACTGCTTTCAATGCTGTGGATGGAGCCTCGGAGCGTAACGGACCCGACTCCCAGTAATCTGCGTGTGCCTCGCAGGTCTCTAAGCATCTTAGAGATGTAATAGGAGAGAAACTCTCCAACACGACGTAAAGAACCCATTCTTAGTGAATTCCCTAAGAGTCACTGTTTGGGTGGCCCTGTGTGGCTAATGAGCGCTTGAAATGGGGCTAAGTACCGAACTGGGACGTGTGGTGGGTGTGAACCACACACTGGAGGTCTGAGACCACCTCACTAGTAAATTTCAAATGGATTGCATGTGGAAACTAATGTGTCTGATATGTTGGGTTAAGTCAAGTAAGTTATTAATTTCGCTGTTCTTGGTTTACTTTTTAAATGGGGTTTGCTAGTAGAAATTTTTAAATTACACAGGAGGGTAGTACGGCTCTTGAAACAACAACAAAGAAAGGGCAATCTGGATAATAAGGTAACAGTGTTTATCTTCACTTAAAATCAGTCCAAGGAGATGTTTTAATCTAGTATTAAGTGTTTCTGTTTGTTTCTTTAGCCCAGATGAATTTATATTGTTTCTTGATTGTTTCACGTTTAGACAATGTTTATTATTTCAAGTGATTTCCTTTTAAATAAGCCATTACCCCCTTGAGAGATTTCAGAATTGAATTCAGTTTTGAAAAGAGTTTATTTTATCAGTGTAGTTTATAGTAATTAATATTGATTAAATGGCTACCTCAGTCTCCGGTCAAATGAGAAACCACAATCAGGAAAGAGTTTAAATTAAGATCCCTATAGAGAACCAGTCCTGGATTCACTGTACCATTTGTTTTATCGGCTCTGACATCAGTGAGAAAGAATAGAGCTTAGAAACCAAACTCCCATTGTTGATAGTTATTGGTTGGTAAGTTAATGTTATAGCAGGGGAGTGTATTAGAATCGAAATAATACTACAAATGGAAATTTTAAAACCTCACTGTTGCAGCTAACCACTCCTAAGACATATTTAAAAAAAAAAAAAAAAAGCATTTAACCCGTTTTAACATTTCTAGAATGGAAATGCATCTCACAATCAATGACGTCTTGCAGTTAGTGGTGTGTTTTCTTAATCACATGTAAAATCTCATACAGTGCATCTTACAATAAATTCCCTCATAGATTTGATTGAACTACATCAATTGGTCTATTTAAGCATTTTGTTGTATTCTTCGTTTCTCCAAAACGTTTTTGGGAACCTTCTGACAAAGGATTTAATGCAGTATGATCAATTACATGGAAAATGAAGCCGAAGAATGGTGAAGAAGCAGATATTCTTAAGGGTTAACAGACTTGGTATAGTTGAACATAATCGGCAAATTAAAGATCAGCTATGTTGTACTTGGGCCTAGTTAAACTTGGTCTGTCTGAAACTAGTTGCTAATTTTAAAGCAGCAGCTTTAGAAAAATTAACCTTAATTTTCTAAAGATACAGTAACAGTGTAAATGTTTTCCAGGTAGTGCAGCAGCCCAGGAGTCTAGCTAGCAAAGACCCTGTCCACTGCCCTCACCTTTGGTAGTTAACATTGTTTCGGTTGTTTGTTTTGTTTTTGTTTTTGTTTTGTTTTTTGTTTTTTTTTTTTTTTTTTTTAGAAAACTAATTCCACCAAGTTCAAGGCTTCTGACTTTTTCCAAAGGCAATCCAATATATTAGAATTCATACAGCTAAAGACCAATGTTTTTAGAGGCAAACAAAATCCAAATTTGACTGCCATTGAATGGCCCTAGGTATTTTAGTTTATAAATCTAAACAAGGAAAGAACCCAAAATGCCTGGTTCAAATCAAGTAATTGAAACACATTTTTTTTTTTTACTTGAACCAAACTCAAACCCAAATGATGTAATTATAGCTGATTCCAAACTGAAGCTGAAATGAAACATTAGAACATGGTTCTAATCCCATGTTCCAGAAAAGAGCAGCAGAAGGCTCTTGAGAACACAGGTCCATAATTTACTTCAGAGAAACAAAGCAATTAAGCTTTGGGAAATTGATATTCTTAGTTACATTTTACCCAGAATGCCTAAACTGTATTATAAAAGTTCCTGTTACTTTTTTAAAAAGATATAACATTTTTAATAATCATGATTCTTGATTTGGGTTGTATCTAAAAATGTATCACCTTTGGTGAGATTTCTAGATAAATCAAATTTAAATGTGACTCTGAGAAGCAATGCACAGAAAAAAAGACTGAAAGAAATTACACCAAACAACTATGAGTTGTTTGTCTTTGAGGAATAAAATGTTGATTTTAAAAAATTTGTCTATTATACATTGTTGACTTTCTAAAAGGAGCATTATTGTTTTTATGATGAAAAGTGACCATTTTTCTATTTTATAAAAAAGTTAATACATGATGAAAACCATATAGAAATTTTGTGTACTTTTTTCTTAAGTGGTTCCCTGGTCAGTGTGGCTCTGTTGGTTACAGCATCATCCCATACACCAAAAGGCTGTGGGTACAATTCCTGGTCCTTCCCAGGTTGCAGGTTCAGGAGGCAACCAATTGATGTTTCTCTCTTCCCCCTACCCCCTCCCCTGGCCCGTTTCCTCTCCTTTTCTCTCTCTCAAATCAATAAAAACATTTGTTTAAAAAAGTGTGTACATTGCCCTAGCCGGTTTGGCTCAGTGGATAAAGAGTCTGCCTGCAGACCTAAGGGCTCAATTCCAGTCAAGGGCATGTACCTAGGTTGCAGGCTCCTTCCTGGTCAGGGCACATGCAAGAGGCAACCAATCAAAGTGTTTCTCTCACATTGATATTTCTATCTTTCCCTCTCTCTTCCTCTCTCTAAAAACCAATGGGATGATATCCTCCAGTGATGATTTAAAAAAAAAAAAAATGGAGCATACCTCAAAACCCATAGAACATACAGCACCCGGAGTGAACCCAAATGTAAACTATGAACTGTGGGTGATGCTGATGTCAGAGTAAGTTCATCAACTGTAACAAATGTACCACTCTGGTACAGAATGTTGATGGTGATAGTGGGGGAGGCTGTGCATGTGTGTGCCAGGGAGTATCTGTACTTTCTGCTCGATTTTACTGTGAACCTACAACTGCTCTGGAAAGTTATTAAAAAATTACTGAGTGCTCTGCTAAAAGAAAATTATTGGAAATGCTATGTGTCTAAATACTAGTGAGATAAACTAGTTTGTCATTAGCTCCTAGGGCTTTGCACCTTCTAGGCCGGTGGTTTTCAACCTTTATTATCTCATGGCACACTTAAACTAATTACCAAAATTCAGCAGCCCAGCAGAAAATATATTTTTGGCTGATCTGACAAAAAAAAAAATAGGTATAATTTTGATTCTTTCACACCAGACAGATATTGTATTGGCTCTTGTCATTTTTTCATTTGACAATCTAAGGGAAAAAGAGGTCAGTGCCCCTGACTAAATAGGCAGGTGTTACATGTTTTAAAAATTCTTGTGGCACACCAGTGTGCCTGCCGAGGCACAGCAGTTCAAAATTGCTGTTCTAGGCACTCGGATATTTGTTGAACGAGTGAATAAATTATCTATTATATATTGAGGAAAGTCACTGGGAAAATTGCTCACCTTTCTCCTTCGTTTGCAAATACTTTAAAATTTCCTTGTTGAAAACACCCGCTCTTTTGTGTTACAAAATTAGATCACAGTGTCAGTGTGAGAGTAACTACATATTAGTTCACTTAATTCACAGCCTGAAGACCTGCTGCAAAGCCCATGCTCTACTTGACAGTCAATAATAGCATGTTTTTATGTCAAAATTGGACACAGTTTCCATGTTTATCGTTATTACAAAGAATCTTTCATATATAAACATTTTAAAGATCACTATTCAGTTCCTGTGGGTAATGTGTTGTTATTTTTAAAAGACAGGCATCCTGTAGATTTTCAGCCCTATAAAAACTTTTTAAAAAACGAATTGTTGTTTGTTTTTTTTAAAGGAGATCCTCAAGGAATTGGGTGAATTTGAAATTTCAAAAACAAAGTTAGAATTTATTTGAAATTTGTGGTGCTAATGCCAAAAGAAGCTATTTGATTCTTGTCCCCTTTTTCCCCTAAGCATTTTTGAAATTAGAAAAATGTCTTACCTACTTGACTTGGGTTGTATCTAAGGTGCTTAACTTAACGTTGGTTTTGTTACCCATGAAATGGTAACTTCGTAAAAAGCCTTCAGATCCCCAGATACTACGGTACTGGGAATCACCTTCAAATGCACAAAGGTTCTAGGCAATGTCAGTCCAGGGCCTCAGCTGATAAACCGATGTTAGAGTGTGTTGGCATGTATGGGTGTGGTGCAGGGAGTGCCTAGAGTTCACTAGAGTTCATTTCATTCTCAGCTGTTTTGCCAGCTCATAGCCAAATGACTAATTAAAATGTTTTACCTCATACTCATTTGTCTTTTCAAATGGCAAATTTGACTTTGTTTTAATCCTAAGTGTGCCAGGCTGAACCACTGGTGTTCATCGTAAAGCAAGCTAAATTTAAGTATTAAAAATATTTCCAACTGTGTCACGTGTAAATAACAACTATTTTCTTGTTCAAAGTGTTTTTAACTTGCTTTATTTTTAGA